CAGAGGAAAAAAATGCAATGCATTTCCTTTATGGTTCAAAAAAAAAAAAAATCGACAACATATTGCATATGCAACTGCCGGGCGTATAGGCCAGTAAGCCAAGAATAATGCAGGGATGGGGATATTGAGGCACCCTTAGGCCTTAGAAAAATATTTTTAAAAAAACCCAGTTTATTGTTAGGCCTTAGAAAAATATTTTTAAAAAATCCACGTTTATTGTTAGGCTTTAAAAAATAATTTTCAAAAAATCCACGTTTATTGTTAGGCCTTAGAAAAATATTTTTAAAAAATCCACGTTAATTGTTAGGCCTTAGAAAAATATTTTTAAAAAATCCACGTTTATTGTTAGGCCTTAAAAAATAATTTTCAAAAAATCCACGTTTATTGTTAGGCCTTAGGAAAATATTTTTAAAAAATCCACGTTTATTATTAGGCCTTAGAAAAATATTTTTAAAAAATCCACGTTTATTATTAGGCCTTAGAAAAATATTTTTAAAAAATCCACGTTTATTGTTAGGCCTTAGAAAAATATTTTTAAAAAATCCACGTTTATTATTAGGCCTTAGAAAAATATTTTGAAAAAATCCACGTTTATTGTTAGGCATTAGAAAATTTTTTTTAAAAAATCCACGTTTATTGTTAGGCCTTAGAAAAATATTTTGAAAAAATCCACGTTTATTGTTAGGCCTTAGAAAAATATTTTTAAAAAATCCACGTTTATTATTAGGCCTTAGGAAAATATTTTTAAAAAATCCACGTTTATTGTTAGGCCTTAGAAAAGGTTAAGAGGTCGCTTTTGTCCTGAGAAAAATTCTTTGAAAAATCTGTGTGAATTTTCTGAGGATCTTTTTTTAGATCAACGATAGAAGTTTGTTCTTATTTGTGAAAAAATAATGTTATGGGGTGTTTTTCGGTCCAAACGAAATTGTTTAAAAATCCACGTCGAGAGGTCATTTTTTCTCCTGAGAACAATTCTTCGAAAAATCTACGTTGAAGTGTAGTTTTTTTCTAGAAAATTTTTGTTTAATTTGAATTATAAAAATCACCCTTAAATTCCCAAGAATAATTATTAATAAATCAACAGTTAGAGGTCACTCTTAAGTGGAGAAGAATTTAAAAAAATCCACAACTAGAGGTCTCTCTCAACCTGAGAAATATTCTTAAAAAATCACAGTTAGAGGTCTCTCTCGATTCCAAGACAACTGCTTAAAAATTTGATGTTAAAGTGGATATTTAGTCCCAAGAAAAATACACAATTGGAGGTTACCCCAAAAAATATTAAAAAAATCGGCAATTAGAGGTCTTACCTAACTCGAAGAAAATTCTTAAAAAAAAAAAATAAATAAAAATCTTCTTCAGTCCGAGAAAAATCATTTGAAGATCCATGTTAGGATGTCTTTTTTGTTCCAAGAAGAATTCTATATAAATTCACAGCTAGGTGTATCCCCTAAACCAAGGTAAATTCTGAAACAAAGTTTTGTAAAACAATCATAGTTAGAGAATCCACAATTAAAGGTCTCCTCAACCTGAGATACATTCATTGAAAACTACACAGTTAGATGTCTCTCTCACTCTAAGGATTATTATTATTATTATTTTTGAAATAATAATAATTATCGGCAATTAGGTCTCTACTTCAACCCCAGAAAAATCTTTAAAAAATTCCCAAATAGAGGTCTTCTATAACTCGGGAAATTTCTTTAAAAAACAGTTCTCAATCCGAAAAAATATCATTAAAAGATCCATGTTAGGGTGTTTTTTCGTCCCAAGATAAATCTGCATAAACCCACAGTTAGGTGTCTCCCACACATCGAGCTTAATTCTGTAAAAAATCCACTGATAGAGGTTCCTCTCAGCCAATGAATGTCTCCCTCACTCCATAGACAAATTTTTAAAAACCTACAGGTGGAGGTCATCCTTGATTCGAGGAAATATTCTAAGGTAGAGGGCTCTCTACCCAAAACTCCTATTTAGGTGTCTTTTTCGCCCAAAAAGTCTTTATAAATCTAAAGACCACAATTAGAGGTCTCTCTTAACCTGCGAAGAAAAAATTGAAAAATTCACAAATACACATTTAGAGGTCTCCTTCAGGCCGGGGAAATTGTTTATTAAACCACGTATAGATGTCTCTCGGCCCGAAAAAAACTCTAAAAACATAATTTGAGGGTAGTTTTCGTCCCGAAAAAGAAGTTAAAGATAAAATTCCGCGGTTAGGGGCGTCATGAATGCAAAGAATTTTCTCGGGGACTAACAGGACTATGAACGTGGATTTTTTAAATAATATTTTTTCTAAAAGAATATCAGGACCATAAACTTGGATTTTTTAAATAAAATTTTTTCTGAAGGACTATCAGGACCATAAACTTGGCTTTTTTAAATAATATATTTTCTAAAGGACTATCAGGACCATAAACGTGGATTTTTAAAATATTTTTTTTAAAGGACTAAAAGAATCATAAACGTGGATTTATTTAAATTATTTTTCTAGAGGGCTATCAGGACCCTAAACGTGGATTTTTTAAATAATTTTTCTAGAGGGCTATCAGGGCCATAAACGTGGATATTTTAAATATTTTTCTAAAGGACTATCAGGACCATAAACGTGGAAATTTGGAATTTGAAGTTCGTTAACTACAGCCTAAGACAAAAAATGTCAATGCAGGTCCACGTCGTATAGCCGCCATATGACGGTACCTCCGGATATTCAGTTCTTTGTTGATTTTAGCGACATTATTAACCGGAATTCTTTTAAATTTGGTATTTGAAGTTCGTAATGGATATTACAGCCTAAGATAGAAAATTGTCTGTGTAGGTCCACGCCTTCGTATAGCCCCCATATAAGGGTACCTTCCGATATCCGGTATTTTGATGATTTTAGCTACACTATTCACCAGAATCGTTTCAAATTTGGTGTTTGAAGTTCGTTATGGATACTACAGCCTATGACAGAAAATTGTCTGTGTAGGTCAACGTCTTCGTATAGCCCCCATATAATGCACCTCCCGATATTCGGTATTTTAATGATTTAAGCGACATTATTTACCGGAATTACTTCAAATTTGGTACTTGAAGTTCGTAAGGGATACTACAGCCTATGACTGAAAATTATCTGTGCAGATCCACATCTTGGTATGGCCCCCATATAACGGTACCTACCGATATTTAGTATTTGGATGATTTTAGCTACACTATTCACCGGAATTGTTTCGAATTTCGTATTGGAAGATCTGAATCGGTACTACAACCTATAGCAAAAAATTTCGTATGGAGGTCCACGCCTTTGTATAGCTCCCATATAACGGTACCCGGATTTTTTTTCAAGTTTCGCATTTGAATATTGTAATGGCTTATGACAAAAGTTGCCTATGTAGGTTCACGTTATCGACCCTAATATATCGGCTACATTCGGAATTTTAAAGACTTTAACAAAATTTTTACGGATTTTATTTTATTTTATTTTTTTTTTTTTTTGAAAATTACAAAGTCGTTCCAAATGGTGGAAGGTATTTTGCCGAACTTATTTTTTTCTTGGAAATATGACATAAAGTCGTTAAATATGAATTCGTTTTACGTCCCAAAATCCGCTTCAAGTCGAGTTCTAGCCCGAATTTATTTCTTTTTTTTTTGAAAATCAATTTTCCCCATTTTTATGTTTGCCCATCCCTGGTAATTTTTCCAACTTCACTCTGGGCATCATAACATAAAATATGTTTGATTACATTTACGTGTATATTATCATCATCATATATGTATGTATGGATGGATGGGTGGATTGTCGGTTGGTATGTAACCAAGTATGAGCATATGTGTTACGCTTAGGTGACAACAACAACAACAGCAACGCACACACCCAACATTTGAACTTCAGAACAAACGGTTGTGGTTTGAGGAATAATAAATATCCCAATTAAAATGTTGAATTAACTACCATTTGAAAGCAAATAAAATGGCCAGCAAATGGAAAGGGGGGGGAGTATATGAACCTGAAACGGATGCATTTGAATGCACTTTTTTGTGGAGATTTTTACAAATTTTTTCAATACAAAATTTTTATAATTTTTTTATTTTTGTTGTTGTTTTTTTTTTTTTTTTGATTCAAAGGGATTTATGCTACATTGAGTGTAAATTCAATAGATTTTGCTTTGGCCATATGCGAAGAAGATAAAAACAGCCATGTGACTGGGAGGAGTTGGAGGCGAAGGTCCATGGGGCATGATAACTACTTCCCTTTGGATTTTTTTTTTATTTTTTTGTTGTCTGTTGTTGGTTCGGCAGCAGCAATATGTGGGTGTGTTAAGTTCGACGTTTTTGTTTTCTTCCAACATTTTACAAATACCCACTTAAACGGGCCATAATTAAACAGAATTATTATTAAAGGGGGTCTCCCCCATTTTTCAGCGTGCTTAATTTTTTTTTCTCTTTTGTTGTTGTTCGTTGTTGTATTAGGCTTTTTGTTGCCCCCATATCGAGTTTAATGTAGCTTAGAGTTACCTAAACATGTCTGCCTGGCTGGCTATGGGTTTTTGGGTATTACAAAGTGAGGGCTTTTTTCTTTCTTATGTTTGAATAGACCGGATATATCTTCTTGAGGCGGGAGGGAGGTCTGCTCTGTTTATTTTTTTCATTTCATTACCTTTTGGTAGGGAATTGTTTTTTTTTTTTTTTTTTTTTTTTTTTTGAAAAATAAAAGAAAAAACTCAATTGCCTGGAACAATGGCGGATGTTTTGGCATTCACATTTCTTTCTTGGTCCCTGTTAAGTGTTGAGCTTTCTTTTAAAAATTCGAACAAAAATAAAATCTCCTCAAAATTCTCTCAATCTTTACCGCAGCCTCAATCTCAAATAAAAACGAAACAAAAAAATTCACACAATACCCAAAAATAGATTTCTACGAATTACAGGACAACAATTTTAAGAAAGAAATCCTTTGAAACGTATTTTTTTATTCATTCCTTTTTTATTCATACCTCTCTCTCCCCTCTTCCCCCTTCTTCTTACAGATGCTCAAACACGTACAAATCTCACCCCTACGCAATCGTTCCGATTCGGTGTCATTGCGTTCGAGCACATCATGTGCCTCCTCGATGTGCGGCAGCCCGGAACCGCCCACCGATTTACAACGCACCCCATCACGTGCCTCCAGCTATTCCAGCCTAAATGAACAATTACCTCAGGTAAGTTAAAGAGGAGAATTTTTTTTTGTGATTTAAGAGAATCTCATTTTATTGTTTTTGTTCTTTGCAGACCACCATTAAAGTATTCACCAGCTGTTTGAAAATCGATATTGAATACAAAACCCTGGGCATACAATGGGATACGACCAGCAAGGAAGTCATAGCGCAATTATTAAGGCGGTAAGTATTTCGAAGTGAAAGGGAAGCCAGGGAATTTTTTAAATACTCATGGGACATGGGGTACTATTTATTCCGTAATTTTTCTAAAGGTACTAAAAGGTACCAAAAATTGAGTCCATGATATGAGTGATATGGGACAAAGGGAAAGAGGCAAAATTCGGAAATTTGGCATGAAGACCGCTAATGGGGTGTAGAATAGATGCTCAAAAGGGGTTTCTTTGAAATTCGAACTAAAAGAACAAAAAGGTACTATATTTGGTACTATTTGGTACTATGTGAAAGGAAGCTGAAAGGAAAATTTTGAAGAATTTTGAAGAATTATTGTTAGGCCTTGGAAATATATTTTTTAAAAATCCACGTTTATTGTTAGGCCTTAGAAAAATATTTTTAAAAAATCCACGTTTATTGTTAGGCCTCTGGAAAAATATTTTTAAAAAATCCACGTTTATTGCTAGGCCTTAGAAAAATATTTTTTAAAAAATCCACGTTTATTGTTAGGCCATAGAAAAATATTTTTAAAAAATCCACGTTTATTGTTAGGCCTTAAAAAATATTTTTAAAAAATCCACGTTTATTGTTAGGCCTTAAAAAATATTTTTAAAAAATCCACGTTTATTGTTAGGCCTTAAAAAATATTTTTAAAAAATCCACGTTTATTGTTAGGCCTTAGAAAAATATTTTTAAAAAATCCACGTTTATTGTTAGGCCTTAGAAAAATATTTTTAAAAAATTCACGTTTATTGTTAGGCCTTAAAAAAATATTTTTAAAAAATCCAAGTTTATTGTTAGGCCTTAGAAAAATATTTTTAAAATCCACGTTTATTGTTAGGCCTTAAAAAAATATTTTTAAAAAATCCACGTTTATTGTTAGGCCTTAGAAAAATATTTTTAAAATCCACGTTTATTGTTAGGCCTTAGAAAAATATTTTTAAAAAATCCACGTTTATTGTTAGACCTTAAAAAAATATTTTTAAAAAATCCACGTTTATTGTTAGGCCTTAGACAAATATTTTTAAAAAAATCCACGTTTATTCTTAGGCCTTAGGAAAATATTAAAAAAATCCACGTTTATATATGGGCCTATTACAGTTAATTAGAGAAGAATTTTCAAAAAAATAAATAAAAAATAAATCCACAATTAGAGGTCTCCATCACATGAGGAACATTCATTGAAAAATGCACACTTAGTTGTCTCTCTCACTCTAAGATGTCTTTCAGCCCGAGAAAAAACTTAAAAATAACGAAATTGAGGGTAGTTTTCGTCTCGAAAAAGATAGAATATAAATATGAAAAATCCGCGGTCGAAGACTAACAGGACCATGAACATGGAATTTTTAAATAATTTATCTAGAGGACTCACAGGACCATATACTTGGATTTTTTTAATTTTTCTAGAGGACTAACAGGGCCATAAATGTGGATATTTTAAATCATATTTTTAGAGAACTATCAGTACCATGAACAGGGATCTTTCAAATAATATTTCTAGAGGACTATCAGGACCAAAAACGTAGATTTTTTAAATATGTACTATTTCTAGAGGGCTATCAGGACCATAAACGTGGATTTTTAAAATAATATTTTTTTCTAAAGGACTATCAGGATTTTTTAAATAATATTTTTCCTAAAGGACTATCAGAACCATAAACTTGGATGGAGATATTATGTTGCGGATAGAGTTAGAATTCTGAGATTTGCGATGAAGACCGTACCTAAAGTACTAAAAAGTACTATATTTAGTACCATTTGGTACTATGTGAAAAAGTAGAGGAACAATTTAGACAATTGGTATAATAATTATGTTGGAGAACTAGGGGACTATTTATAACCCAAGATCGGAAAATTTGGCTGAAATTTGGTGAGGTGGTAGTTTAGAGCCAGAAAATGGACAGAGGATACTTTGCGGTACTAAAAGGCACTTAAAATTGAATCCATTGTCTTGGGCAAACGGATAGAGGAAGAATTCTGAAATTTGGAATGAAGACAACTGATGGGGTGTAGGAGAGGTGAACTTAAGCGTTTTTTTGAAATTTGACCGAATATTTACTAAAAGTATAAAAAAGTACCATATTTTGCCCCATTTGGTACTTTTGTGAAAGGATAGAGATAAAATTGAAGACATTTGTTACAGGAATTTGGTTGAGGAACTAGGGAACTACGGAAGTATTTTTAAATCAAGAACGGCTTTACCGATGTGGCTGAACATTGGTGAGGAGATAGCTGAGAGCCAGCACACGTAGAGTACGATATATTCCGTAATTTTACTAAAAGTCCCAAAAGGTACTAAAAATTGAATCCACTGTCTTTGTCAAATGGATAGAGCAACAATTCTGACAATTGGTATGAAGACGGCTGATGGCGTGTAGGATAGGTGCACTAAAGTTTTTTCTTTGAAATTTGTTGAGATCTGAAGGTGTTTTTGGAAAAATGTAACAAATAGTACGAAAAGTACTAAATTGTACAAAATCTGGAATATGAGGAAAAGATAGAGCTGAGAAGCTGAAATTTTGAATTAAAGTCCCTTTTGTGAAGAGTTGTTGATATATGGAGGCGGATTTTGAAAAACGTACCAAAAAGTACTAAATGGTATTAATTTTGTACAATTTTGATTTGAGGTAGAAATTTGATATTTTGGAATTTGTTGTCACTGGTAATGTGTAGGCTGGAGATTTGAAGCTGTTTTTGATAAAAAGTAACAAATAGTACGAAAAGTACTAAATTGTAAAAAATCTGGAATATGAGGAAGGAATAGAGCTGGAAATCTGAAATTTGATATTAGGGTCGTTTTTGAGTGCCGGAGGGTCATATATGAAAATGGATTTTGAAAAACGTACCAAAAAGTACGAATTGTACTAAATTGTATAAAATTTAGTATTTTGGGAAGGGATAGCGCAGGATTTTTGAAATTTGATACTAGGGTCACGTTTTGTAAGGTGGGATTGACACATATAAGTGGACTTTGAAAAACGTAGCCGAAAAGTACGAAAATTACCTAAATGGTATTAAACTTGGTATTTCGGGAAGGGATAGAGCTGGATTTCTGAAATTTGGAATGAGGGTCTTTAATGTTGTTTTGATAGATCAACGATTCATGGAAATTTAAACAATAAGTGTAGCCAAGTACTAAATCGAAAAGTACGAAATGGTTCGATACTGTACTAAATGGTACAAAATTTGTTATATGAGGACTAGATAGAGCTGAGAAGCTGAAATTTGGTATTAAAGTCCCGTTTGTTGATATATGGAGGTGGACTTTGAAAAACGTACCAAAAGGTACGAAAAGTACTAAATGGTACTAAAATTGGTACATGAGGGATAGAGTTGGAAATCTGAAATTTGGTATAAGAGTAACTTTTTCTGAGATTAGGTTGATACATGGAGGTGGATTTTTAAAAGCGTACCAAAAAGTACGAAAAGTACTAGGTAGCGTTAAATGCGGTTTTTGGGGAAGAGAGAGATTTCTAATGTCATTTTCTGTAGAATATTTCTTCTTTGGACACGTTCCAGCTACATTCAGGCGTTAAATCGATATACAGGGTGAGAAAAAAAAACAGCAACAAAGTCAAACGCCATAATTTTTACTTTTTTGAAATTTTATTGAATTAAAATCAAAAATTTCGGAAATAGCACCAAATTTTAGAATAAGTTTGGATTTGTCACCTTTGACACGAATTATGGCCTTCAAACTGTCACACGCTGGCCGAATGTTGCTCTGCGGGCGGCGCGTGTATGATGCATTTTTTTCATCTCACCCTGTATATGAATTCCTGGCGTTTAGATGAGATTTAGACTTTCGATGTCTTCAAGGACCTATAGTAGAATTTTATGACAAATAATTTTGTGGAATATTTTAATTTGTTTCGATCCCGTTTAAAGGGAGTTTTTTAACATATATTAGAAAAAGGACCAAAAAGACCCCATTGTTGACTCGCTCGAGGGTTAAAGTTCGGGAAGAAAATATTCCTTGTATTTTTATCTGCAATATTGCCGATGACACTATATACCTAAAATGCACGAATTCCGAGGAATCTTAATTCGAAAATGTCCAAGAGTGTTGAAATGGGTGAAACTTGCCCCCTTATATTTAGGTTACTTTGCGGTGTAAATTTTCAAAATGCTGATATAGGCGTCTTCTTTTTTTTCTGGTCTATTTTCAAAATCTGCTGGATTTTTTTCGTAATTATTTTTTGTGTTGCACAGTGTATTTTTTTACATCATTTTCATAAATTCCAAAGCATTTCGAAATCCATCTTTTCTTAGCTTAACTTCCATGTTAGGTTCTCTTTTGATATTTGAGGCCCCAAGATATTTTTTCAAATTCTCTCCTTTTATTTTTCGGACTCTCTGAGTATCCCTGTTTATATATGCAGGGTGGTTTACGATTTTTTACATTCCCATGACCCAGAATGCCTCTCTAATTGACAACTCAAACCTCAATTTTTTTTAATTTGCTCTCTTTATTTTTCTCCAACCTCAAATTGTTAATCCTCTCTTTATTTTTCTCAAACCTCAAATTTTTAATTTCCCCTCTTTTTATTTTCCTCTCTCTCACAGCCTCAAAATGCGTCACCGTGATCCCCGTCTCTTCTATCTGTCCATGGAAGTTTCGGTGCGAAGGGCTGGCGTTAAAACAGTTATGGTCCTCGATGATGATACCCGTCCTGCAATCCTTCAAGCCTGTCATCCCAAAGGTGAATCACGTTTCTGTCTACAATTGAAACCTGGTGGTTTGATACGTGTCCATACCTCGGCCCTACTACCCTCATCGCAATACAAATCTTTGGTGATCTCGGAAGAGACCACTTCAGATGAGTTACTACAATTGTTACTGTCCTGCTATAATTCCATGGAACCGGTGGAACAGTTTTCAATCTATGAGGTAGGTTTGGAATGATTTTCGAAATATTTAGAATATAAATCTAAAATTTTTTTTCGGATTTTTTTCAGGTTTGTCCCGGCCAGGAGTACCAGCGTAAGCTGCATCCCGATGACATACCCCTGCGAGCCCAAAACGAACGCTGCAAACGTGGCGAGACTTGCCACTTCTTGGTGCGCCGCAATCCCAACTATGCCAGACGTCGTCAGATCCTCAATGCCTTGGATGAGGTGGAGAAGGCCTATAAGGTGGCAGAAAATTCGACAAATTCCCCCGCCGACTGTAGCATGAATTCTTTGGATGATAGTGCCAGCCTTTTAGACATATCCATTGAAACCCTGTCCGATGATCTGCAATCGCTGATGACCACCAGTGATGAGGATGATGAATGTGCCTCCTCAATATCGGGTTCATCATCGGATACATCTTCCTCGGCTGCCTCCTGCTCCTCCTCCGCCTCGTCCTCTTCCTCCACGGATGGTTCATGCAGCATAAGACGTACCCCCTCCACCCTGACCGTTATTGCCAAAAACAGCGCCACGGAAGTGTGTGGCCATTGTCAAAATTCTTATAAAAATTGTGATTTTTGTCATAAGACCAGCCTAGCCCGCAGTCCCTCAAGTGCCTCCAAAAGTCCCAACACCCCCATCAGCTATAGTCCCGTCTATAATATTCGAGAAATACGCACCTCATCCCATTCATTTTCCTCGCTGGGAAGTGATAAGAAACTGCTGGATATTGAATTGAATGGACGTTTCGATCCCTCCACCTGTCGCATGCGACCGCAGAGTGTGTATATGGGTAGGACGACGGTACCAAGGGTCATTCTCGATGCCACCAGCGCCACGGAGACCACATCGGCATCGGTTATCATTCAGGATGTGAATGGAAATCATGCGGCGACGACGGCGGCAGGGCAAATGAAATCGAAAACTAACAGCACCACCACCACAATGGGGGGAGAGGAAGTCAACAACAATCCCTCCAAGGGTTTGGGTCATTTTGTCTATATATAAGTGAGGGGGGCGAAGTTAGAGGGTTCTATTTCCCTATTTTCTTTTCCAAAAACCAGTATTTTTTCGTTAGGAAAACTTCGTTATTGAAAGTAGGTGGTAGAGAATGGTAAGGGAAGTCCAAAGGAGATTGTTCTGGAAATTCATGGAAGAATCTTTCCTTTAAAGAGGAGGGAATTCCAGATCCTTTTTATAATCAGATCTCATATTAAGTTCTAGAAATTTTCAAAATGGGGCTATAATAATTGGCTGTAAAGGTCTACGTTTTCGTATTGCCCATATATAACCCTAACACCAAATATTCGAAATTTTTGAAATGAAAGCTGTAATTTTCAACAGAAATTTTTTTAGCAAATTTTGAAAAAAAAAAATAATTTGAAAATAATTTGAGAGCGGGAAGTCGAATACTTTTTTAAAGGCATCGAATTTTGTTGGAAAAATGTGGATCAAAGGCAAGATTTTTCAAAATCAATTTTTTTTAAGAAGTCTCTGTCTGAAAAATTCAGGACCTAAAATTTGGAAGCAGCTAACTCATGAAATTTTCAGATTAAATTTAAAAATATTTTTCCAAATGGCGAAGGCTATTAAAAATTGGATGCTGCCGAATATGGCTGTTTTTTAACTGTTTTTAAAAAATTTGAAAAAAAAAACTGAAAATTTTGAATGAGTTTTTTTCATGGCATTAAGTTTCGAATTTTTTTGAAAAATTCGGATCAAAACCAAATTTTTTTTAAAATTAATTTTCTTTAAAAAAGTCGCTGTCTGAAAAATTCAGGACCTAAAATTTGGAAGCAGTTAACTTAGCTATTAAAATTCATGAAATTTTCAGATTAAATTTAAAACTTATTTTTTCAAGATAAATAATCCTTGCAAATGGTGGAGGCTATTAAAACTTCGATCCGGCCGAACATAGCTTCTTTTTTAACTGTTAAAAAAAAAAAAATTGAAAAAAAAACTGAAAATTTTGGGAAGCATTTTTTCAAGGCCTTAAGTTTCAAACTTTGTTGGAAAAATCCGGATCAAAGCCAATTTTTTTTTTCAAAATCAATTTTCTTTAAAAAAAAGTCACTTTTTTCAAAATTCAGGACCTAAAATTTGAAAGCAGCTAAGTTAGCTATAAAAAATAATAATTACCATTCTCTACCAACTTAAGTAGTCAGTCAAACCGATTTAAAATTCATGAAATTTTCAAATTAAATTAAAAAATATTTTTTTTTAATGACAATTTAAATTAAAAAAATATATTAATAAATATCAAAATACCATTCATAAAAAATCCCGCATAAGAGGCATTATTTTAAAAATGAAAACCAAAATATGTATATATAAAAAATTATATTCTATAAATTTACCAAAATCATATAAAACCAAGTGGCCTTCAAATTTTGCAATTTAAAAAAAAAATATTTAATAAAATAAATAATAAAATTACGAAAGTAAATGTAAAAAATATATTTCATGTATACCAAGTGGCCTTCAATATCTAATAAAAAATTAAAAATAATTATATAACAAAAAATTATTATTAATAAAATTATTAAAAAGGATAATATACAAAAAATTTATGTAAAAAATAAAAAAAATATTTTTTTTTGTATAAAAATAATAAGAAACGGAAATCATAACAAAAATTTATGTAATAAAAAGTCCATAATAATATTTGTATATAGAGAATTCAGTCAAAAAATATTGATTTTTTAAATTGCAGTTTTTTATCATTTGAATTTTTGTTTTAATTTTTAAAGAAAACGAGTTTTTTATTTAATTATTTTAATTAAATTAAATAAAAATTATATATAATTGATTTTAAATTAAAAACAAATGAAATATTTTCAGTTAAATTAATTAAAATAATTATTACATTAAATTAAGTAATTAAAATTAAATTATTTAATTTATATAATAATTAATTATTTAATCTAAATTAATTAATAATATTATATAAAACCGTTTTATAATTAAAAACAAATCAAATATGTTTAATTTAATTTATTAAATTTATCCATTAATTTAATTGAAATTAATTAATTAATATTATTTATGAATTTAAATTGAATTAATTAATTTAATGAAAAATAATAATTAATTTTAATCAATTAAATTAAAAATATTTCATTTGTTTTTTTTTAATTATAAAACGGTTTTATATAATTTTATTAATTTATTTACATTAAATAATTTATTATTATTTTAAATAAATTAATTAAATTTTATTTACTTAATTTAATTTAATAACTAATTTAAATTATTAATTAATCTAAATTAATTTAACTGAAAATATTTCATTTATTTTAATTAAATATCAATTTAATATAATTTTTATTTCATTTAAATTAAAAATATTTTTTCTTTTGAATTAAACAAAACCGAACAAAATTTTAAAATTTACATATTTTTTTAATAATTTAAAATTATGTAATTTAAATTAAATATATAAATTAAAAAAAAATATAAAATTAAAAAAAGTCAGGTATGACAGCGTTTTTTAAATAAAATTAAATGAAATATTTTAAATTTAATTAATTTAAATTAAATATAAATTTAAATTAAATTAGTTATTTTAAATAATAATGAATTATTTAATTTAAATTAATTAATAAAATTATATAGAGGCATTTTATAATTAAAAACAAATGAAAATTTTTTAATTCAATTTTAATTAAATTAATTAATTAATTTTATTTAAGTTAATAATTAATTTTAATTAATAAAATTAAACATATTCCATTTGTTTTTAGTTAAAAAATATTTTTAAACGTAAACAAAATTTTCAAAATTACATATTTATTGTTTATAATAATTTAAAATTAATTAATTTATAATTATTTTAAATAATTAATTTTATTATTTAAATTAATTTATTTAATTTAAAAAAGTAAAATTAAATATAATTAATTAAATTTAAATTAATTAAATTCAAATTAATTAAATTTAAATTAATTAAATATAAAATATTCCATTTGTTTTTAATTGAAGAACAGTTTTATTCCCGAAAACCCATTTTTCACAGTTTTTTGTTTTTAATTTAATAAAAAACTCGTTTATTTATTTAATTTTCAAAAACAATTTTTTTTACAATTTTTGTTTCTGTATTTTAAATTTTCTTGTTTTGTTACTATAAGAAAACATAGACATTAATGCATTTTTATTGAAAACGAATTTTAATTTAACAAATTTTGTTAATTTTAAATTAATTTGATTTGCACATTTTTTTTTAATTTTTATTTTCTTAATATTTATTATGGCTCGAGGAGGATAAAAATTCCAAAAGTGAACAATAATTGTCAAATTTATTTTTATTTCTTTATATTTTTTATTTAATTTTTTTGTAAATACTAAATCATAAATTTAATGTTTTTTTTTTTACTAATTTTAAATTGTAAAAATGTTTAAATATTTTGTTTAATTTTCTTTTAAATTTTATTATTATTATTTTTTGTGTAAATACATAAATCTTAAAAATTTAATAATTATTATTATGTTTTTCCAAATTTCTATTTGTCACTTAGCTAGTAGTTGAAATCCAAAACCAAAGAACCAACTTTAACACAAATTAGTTAATAGATTAGTACATGTGTTTTATAATTTAACCAAGCACTCATCAGACCACCCCCTCTCCCTTTACCCAAATTTATACCCCTTCTATTTGCCCCTTTACCACCCAACAACTCGAAATTGGCTTTAGTTTATAAAATAAAAAAACGAAATATTTTACATTTTAATAACTCTCTAATTGTTATGTTATGCTTTAAAAACAAATATTTAAAATACCCTTTTACTACATTTATATAAATATGCGAAAAAAATATTCCAAATAAATTAAAAGAAAACACTTTATATTTTGTAAATAATTGTTTTTTTTTTTTTTTTTGTCAATTATTTAAAATATAATTTCCCAAAAAAAATATAAAAAATCAAACACAATTAGCACAGCATTACATAAAATAAGACTCACAGAATGCACTTGCTTTTATCGTCATGAATTAAAAAAATATGAAAACTGAAAATTAAATCATCAAATTATCAAGCCATTATTCAATAACTTCAATTAAAATAAAATTATAAAAATTATCACAAAAATGTCATAGCTCTTAGATGTGTTGCTCTCTATGTCCATGTATGTGTGTTATTTGTTTTCTACGATCGCAACAAAAACAAAGAAATTATACTAAAATAAAAACAAAAATAAAATGTTTATAAAAATTAGAAATATTAAATAAATTGCATTTTTATTTTAATGGAATTTTTTAAAATTCATGTGGGAATTATAATTTTTGGGGGGTTGGCAATCCTTAATCCATAAAATTAACGATTGAAAAAATAACATGAAGGAAAATATTTAAAGCCAATAAAAGGATTCTAGGGCCACAAAAAAAAATAAAAAAACGGATTTTAAAACAATTCAAAGACCATAAAACCCTGTAATAGGCCTGGTGTTGAAAAGGTCCTGGGACCTTGTTTTTAAACGTGGATCTGAAATGGATTCTAGGACCAACGAAAGGCATATGATTTTGGCAGGATTCTAAGGAACCTTAAGCCTTATAAGTGTTGATTGTTGATAGGCTTCTGCATTCACCTAGAGACCTCACATGACAAAGATTTTAAGAAGGATTCTAGGACCTTTAAAAGACTTTAAAACGGAAGGCCACATAAAGGCCTCCCACGGCAAGAATTTTAACAAGGATTCTAGAACCTTCTTGAAACTTGGATTTTTTAAGGATTCTAGGACAATCTATAGAACTCTTAAAATGTCCATAGTTAACAGATTCTAGGATCATCTAAAGCCTTCGGATTTAAAGGGAACCACTTACGAGCTCTAAAGTTGACAATTTTTGCAAAAGACTCTAAGACCATCTAATTTTGGGAGGATTCCAAGACCACCGAACGGCCTTAAAAAGTTGATGATCAAAGGATTCTGCATTCACCTAAGGATCTCCCAAGGGGAAATTTCTATATGGTTTGTAGGACTATCAAAAGACTACTTAAAACTTAGAACTTTGAAGGGATTCTAGGACATATATGTTGAAAAATAAAAGGATTCTAGGACCTTCCAGTTTCAAAAGGAACCACCAATAACCTCTGACGACGAAGATTTTTGAAAGTATTCCTGGACCACCTAAAGGCTTACAGAACATGTGGTCTTGAAAAGTTTCTAGGACCACCAAAAGACCTTAAAAACGTAGATTTTTAAAAAGATTCTGGATCCACCTAAAGACCTCCCAAGGTGAGGATTTTAA